GACGTACACAGACAGGTTTGGGTGTGCCAGCCCCGCCGGGAAGTGCCAATTCTTGTGTTTTGCACGAATGGCGACCTCGCGCATCGACGGTGCGCCGTGTCGCTTCAATAATCGTATACCGCCATGAGCACATGGGAGGGCGTATGCACGGTGAGTTTCAGCCGCGTCGGAGCAAAAATGTTTCACGACATGTATTTCAAAGGGGGGACCCTTACAATTCTCAACGAAAACGGTAAATTGCGCATAACATCACGCTTGGTGGTCGGGACGGGCTGTGACTTGGTACGTCTACTCTTATCAATGTACGCAATCATCCCTATCGTGCTCAGACGCACGCAGTCTGATGGGAACGAGCGAGAGTCGTCGGGAGGTGCTTCTGTCAGTTCTGCACCGACAGCTACCTCGCGCGCCCGCGACGCGGCGTGCCGCTGCAATACTTGAATACCGCTATCCGTGCACCAGGGGCCATACGCACTGTGAGTTTCAGCGCGATCCGAGCAGAATTACCTGCTGACCTCCCCGCCCACCAGGCTCCTACCCACCACACGCTTCGAGTTTAGAGGGGGCGACTTCAGGTGGGAGGGGTGAGAGGTTAAGTCAAGTAGCGCGCACAGACCGTATCCGAGAACGTAGCACGTGTTCAATAATAAGCGAGTGTGTTCCCCCTCAACTCTCAGCGGCGGCTGGCAACAAACACGAACAAATTTCGGAGGCCGGAGAACAGGCGCGCAAAATCCTCCCCATTTGGCAGGAGGCTCACCGAGGCGCTCAGCGCATATATTCTCATATTCCGTACGCGAAAGTTCCTGCGTGCCATTTTGGGTAATGCAAAATCGCGCACGAGGACGCCGCACCGCGCATGAGTGCGCCGCGCCCTCTTATCTCGCGCTATCATGGATCCACTCCGCGCCAGCGCCCTTCAGCGGGTGCTCGTACAGATACAATCGACTGGTTTCTCGCTTTCTGATCTTGTCGTATACGCCTTACAACAATACAACGATCCCTCCCACCCCATCTTGCGCGATCTCATCGCGAACACCCCTAGCATCGCGGCCTCCCTATACTACCATCGCGAGACCACAGGGCTGTTCACTGGCTGGGTTCATGGGCTGTTCCGCATGCGCTACAGCGACGCGGTGAAAGAGCTCGCGGACCGGGACAATGGATGGCATTTCAACGCTGCGCGGACTAGTCCAAATCAGCTCCGCGATTTTCGCCTTGAGGATATGGCGAGGGGGATGTATCAGAAAGCCCCGGAGCTATGGGAATTGATTCAGTCCCTGCTTGGGTACAAACCAGGCGACCTGCCGCCGGTCGGCGCCGAGACGATCTTGGACGAAGAGGATGCCGACGCGGAGTATTGGGCAGGGACGGAACGCGCAGACGATAATCTGACAAAGAGGGCAAGATTCGCAAATATCGTAAGTAACACATCGCCTTTCTGATGGATTATACCTGACTGTAGCTCTGTAGAAAATCACTGTGATATTGAGCATTCTTGCCCATGGTCGCGACCCACATTGCAACGCCCTCCAAAGTATTCTAGGAATATTTTGCCACACCTGTAACGCCCCCGAAAAGCTCGTGAAGGTTCTATCCAAGATGGGGGTATCAATTTCCCTCGAATCTGTTCGCCGCGCGACTGTTTCTCTATCGGAGAAGAGCTCAGAGGCTATCGAGAAGCTTGGCCGCTCGCGACTCGCTTCCTACGGCGTCGATAACTTCGACTTCCTCCTAAAAACTGGTATCCCTACTGTCGACGATCCCCGCTCCCTCGGAATGCTTCACATGGCCTCAGGCACCCTCCTCGAGCTGGCTCACGGCGTCACTGACGATGACCTCCGGTGCTCGGAGTATATCTGGAATCGATCCGAGCACAACACGCGCGCCACTGACCCGTGCTACTTCAATCCATACACTACATTACAACATCTATTTACGCTGCATGTAGACGACAGCACTACGGGCCTCAGCCGCCGAGGGGAATTCCGTTCCTGGGTCTTTCTGCGCACTCTTATCGAGCACGGTCCTCGATTCTTCGAGGGCTGCGCTGATCAGATCTCCGAGCCTGTGGCTGTCGACAAGATCCCCGTCACTAAATTACACCACGTACCTCTCCGTGCTATGGATATAAACCTTTCCTCGGTCACCGGAAACATCAATGTCATCGGATCGATGTTTCGGCAGGCCGGCGTAGGCAACCCCAACAGCGCAGGCTCTCAGAGTATGGAGGATCCTGTCGAAGACATCTCAGCATTCGTCACACTTGTGCACGGAGATCTAGGGACGTACGAGCGGCTCTTGACAGCGCTGCGTCGGCGATCGGTTGAGCATACTCCCGAAGACCGCCTGCAGTCTGTAGTATTCGTGCTAGGACTCTTTCACCTCAAGATGGCGGCGGCGGATACAATTTGGAGGCTGCTAGTCACTCCTGAAGGTGCTCGGAAGGACCCGCTGGGTTTCTACAAGCTTGCTGCCAAGCTTCGTCCAAAGGACAGTAGCCATATCATCGCCAATGCGAAATTCCGCGAGCAGCATCAGATAATCGGGCACGTCGGAGGGATACTCCGCATAGACGCATGGCGGGTGGAAGTGAAGCGGCGCTTTGGGTTTGACACCCTCGAGGAATGGGCAGCAACAAAACCCTCGTTCTCTGACATCAAAGAGATTGCCGACGCCCTCACGCTCAACTACGTCGAGGGGGAAGGAGTTGACCTCTATGGCGTCGCTGGCCAGCCGGGTCGGGACCACCTCCGCGACAACACCCGGCGCACTCACAACTTCCTGCTCATGTACGAGGAGCTCTCGTATGCCATGAACGCCGGCGATATCGGGCGCGTGGAAACTGTGCTGCGAGTCTGGATCCCGCTGTTTCGCGCGGCAGGGAAGCACAAGTACGGCTCACGTACACTACGGTTCATTCACTCGCTATACTTTGTTTATCCGGAGCGATTACGGTCAGCTCTAGGCCAATATTGTTAGTAGCGAGTACTTACTGACAATATCGTATGCACAGGCGCGCGATACGGTACAATATCCTCGTAAACCCGACGGGAAAACCGAATGCCTTCCGCGCGGTCGACTGGATAGTAGAGTATATAAACCTGTTGATCAAGGTCAGCGGCGAAGGAATGAGTACCAAATGAGCTAGCTAACCATGTCATAGTTCTTCCACTGTGGCGAGGGTCCGAACTTCACCAAGGAGCGAATTCTCCTGGAGTCGGTGCTCGTCCTCATCTACCGGAACATGCACAAGATAATACAACGAAATTTCGGACTACCTGGCCTCACAACTGCTCACAGCACACCAGACATGAGGGCGACATTCAAATCAATATTAGAGGCTATACTAGGGGAGGGAGTGGGTCCGAACGAGTATGAAGCAGGTCGTAAGACGTCGTATCCGATACCGGATGCTATTAGTGATGGTCAGGACATTATCGAGAAGGAGGGCGACAAGCTTGCGCGGGCTGAACAAGGGGCAGGCGAGGGAGACGTGGAGATGGCGGACGAGACAGAAGAGGCGCAGGATGGGGCGGGTGATGAGGCGGAAGCTGGAGGTGTGCCGGAACTGACGATAGACGACTTGAGCGCGGAAGGTTCACTGTAGACCTATTGACACGTACCTTGACCTGGCAAAAGAACTGTCCGGCGAATCGCTGAGGGCTCGAATAAAGTATCCAGTACCGTACGAATGCGCGGCGCGTCCACGGCGTGAGCACCGTGCGGCGCGTCCACGACGTGTGCGACGCGCGGCGCTGTCGAATGTGTGGCTGTAGAGGCTCCGGCGACCGCGTTCGACGGACCAGGTGCGCAATCGCCCTCGACCACGCTGAGCTGCGCGTTTTCCTTGCCTTTGCGCGAGCGCATAGTCTCGGCGTAGTTCGGGCACATCTTATTTGTACCTACAGATAGGTCAGTTCCGCGCCGTGAATAGAAATACTGTACGTACGTATATGTCCCACAGTATTACACGCGCTGCATGTGCGTTGCCCGTTCGCTCGTTTTGGCGCGGGAGCCTGCACCGGATTCGGACCGTCGCCCGCATTTACAGGCTGTTCTTGCAGCGGCGCGGCCGCATTGGCTGGTCGCTCTGGTGTCTGGGAATATACACTGGACGTGGGATGTGGCTGGGGTCATGGATCGCAAAAAGAAGCGACTTACCTGGCTACGACGCGCAAGACCTCCTCTCCCAGCTCGTCAACCCGGCTCCACTTCGTCTCACGGTAGAGGATGGCGGTGGACGTGAGCTTCCGCGCGCGCGCACAATCAACGATCCGCTGCAAGACGTTGTTAGTCATGATGGACGAGCCACCCATGTTGAGTAGGTGAGAGCGTCCGTAGATCGCGGCGGTCTTATCGCGGCGGAAGGTGTTGAGAGCAGCTTGTAGTTTCACGTCGGCGGCGGACATTGTGTACTTGCTTTGGACCTTGGAGGCGCGAGAAGCAGCGGCGGGCTTAGGCGGTGCAGCGATGGTAAGGCTCGGCAGAATCGCCAGTAGATGGTATTCGGGGGAGCAGAGTGAGCAGCACGGACGAGAGGGAGGAGGGGGAACAAAGCAGCGCGGGCAGCAGGCGTCCTTATCGGGCTCTATTATGTAAGGGATAAGTATACCAATTCGAGAACATCAGGACATTGCGACACTTACTTCTTCTGTCGTTCTCATAGAACGCTGTAATAGGCTTCCGATAACACTGCGTAGGGCGCAACCCTGCGTTGATCACGCTATCTAGCTCGGGCGAGAGGACAGCTCCAACCTCCTTCGCTTTCTTCTGCTTTTTCCCTCCTCCCACTTCCTCTGGTGCATGCCGCAGCTGGGAATACGAGACCCGCAAACTCTCATACTCTGTCAACCCGCCAGATGGCTCCCTGGACTCGACGACCACACTAGGCCCGGGGCCGCCCACCGCAACCGGAGGGAGGTCAACTGACCGTCCCTCGTGGTTCCCCAGGCTGGCACTGGCCGGTAGCACCGGTGCCCTCTCTTGCGGCGGACCATTTGTGATATCGACGGTCGCTTGACCAGTCTGACCTTCCGCAGATGGCGGATGACCGAGACCGTGTGGGGCCTCCACGCCTTGCGTGCGTGAGCCCGCGCGAGTCCTCTTTGGGTCTGCCCGCTCGCGGTTTGCTCCCTGTGCTGCGTCTGTGCCTGCCCGCTTCCTCTTCGCGCTCTCCTTCTGCACCGCCTTCCGGGCCTCGGTCTCTTGACGCTTCTGGGCACGCGCCGCCGCCTGTTCCTTCTCATCGTCGAAGTGCTTGGGCTCGACGATGAGAACCGCCAGTGCCTCGGTACCAGGCCCACGCGCCGCCCGCCCGAAGCGCTGCCAAAGCTGGTTCACATCGCATGTCGCCTTCCACTGAACGACGATTTCTATATTTGGTACATCTACGCCCTGTAGTGTAGTCTCTTCAGTAGGATTCGACCATTTGAATATATTTCTTACCATGCCAAACGAGTCTGTACAAAATAAGCCTGCGAGTTTGTGCTCGCGAAATTCGTCCGTCGTCCGCTCGCGGAACCACGGGGTGTTGTCCGAATTGAACCAGACCAAGCGATCGGCATATTCGCGGGGAAGGCGCTTTCGCAGTGCCTCGGCGGCGTTGATGGACTCCTCAATACTGTCATGGAAGATAACGAAAGGGGGGATGCGCTGCCCTGGGACCCAGCGGTCAGGGATGAGCCAGAACAGGTCTTCGAAGCTACTCGCGGAGTGCTGCATCTTTCGCACTGTAAGGAACACGTTGGGCCTGTCGTTGGACCGGCGAATGTAAAGAACGCGGTCCGCGCGGGCTTGGACGATGCCGAGGACATCCGAGCAGTCGGAATCAGTCATCGTTGCGGACATCAAGACGTAGGGGATCTTCGCGGACAACAGATTGCGCAGATGTCCGGACTCTTTGAGGGAAGGTCGAAAGGAACCCCAGGATTTGATGCAATGTGCTTCGTCCCAGACGACGCTGATGAGCCGGGATGTGAAGTTCTTGTTCATCCATAGCCACTCATAGGAACGCTTGTTCCTGAACGCGATCTCCGGGTTCAAAACGACAACTCCGTGACTGAGAGTGCCCGCTGCCTTCATGCAGTCAAAGTGTCAGTATTTCTAGACAGGCGGTGCATTTGTAGCATGCGTACCTTGAAGTTTTCCCGAGTGGCTGTCTCTCCCGAGAGCACCACCGCCGAGATACCCATGTCATGCAGCTGCTTCTTATTCTGAGTACCCAGAATGTTCAATGGAGTGATAACCAGCTGGATCCCGCGGGGGCGAAAAAGAAGTGGCATCCAAAACGTGAGGGTCTTTCCAGACCCGGTGCCCGAGATGCAAACGATATCCTTATCTCCCTTGAGAATAGCCTGAGCAACGTCGCATTGCCAGAGACATGGTTGGCGGCCTAGCTTCTCGGTCGTCCGCCGCCTGATCTCGGAAATATCAGGCAGGTCGGCCGCAGGGGACGCGGCCGACGTAGAGGTGGACATGAGAGAGGCGCAAAGCACCAGCCAGGTGCGGCGCGGCGCACTCATGCGCGGTGCGGCGTCCTCGTGCGCGATTTTGCATTACCCAAAATGGCACGCAGGAACTTTCGCGTACGGAATATGAGAATATATGCGCTGAGCGCCTCGGTGAGCCTCCTGCCAAATGGGGAGGATTTTGCGCGCCTGTTCTCCGGCCTCCGAAATTTGTTCGTGTTTGTTGCCAGCCGCCGCTGAGAGTTGAGGGGGAACACACTCGCTTATTATTGAACACGTGCTACGTTCTCGGATACGGTCTGTGCGCGCTACTTGACTTAACCTCTCACCCCTCCCACCTGAAGTCGCCCCCTCTAAACTCGAAGCGTGTGGTGGGTAGGAGCCTGCCCGCCCACCTCGTACCTCGAAGGCGGCGCAGACAAGCTCAAACCGCGCACCCCGCTCGTTCAAGAGAGCGTCGCGCACCAGAGATACGCCCACATATACTTGAAGATGAATGCATCAGTACGTCGCAGCGTAACTACAGGTACGGACAAGTAATGCCTCGACGACCTCCTGCGTCAAGCTGTGCCGGCAGGTGGTCAATCGAAAGACATCGACCGTCTTCCTACGCCCATGCGGCCTCGGCGGCCTCATCCACACAACCAGAGTGTATACGGCACCGGGGAACGTGTAGACGGTAAGTCTCGGAACGATACGAGCAAATTCAGTATTCACGAAATGCTTCCCAAGGGGGGACCCTTACATACGACGGTGAAAACATTGTTTCGAGCATTCCCCCTCACCTACGCATTCTCCCGCGCCACGCTTTGGTACGTGCATTTGATTATGAGCTCAGAACGATGTTCACCTAATTTGGAACGGATGCGCGCGGTCTGTATGTAGATATCATCGCGAGGAGGTGGCCGGGAGTCTGCTGCAGACATGTTGACCTTGGGCACCAGCGTCGCACCGCGCGGCGTTAACAATCGAACGGCCTAGTTCACGCACTGGAGAGCACACGTACAGCGAGTCTCGATTGCAACGGAGAAAAAAAGGTTCGCGACATCTGCCTTCAAAGGGGGGACCCTTACAAGTGGCCCTGAAACCGACAAATTGTACATCACATCTCAGGCGCAGGTTCTTCTGCGCTGTGCCTTCGTACGTTACGTTGCACTGGCGTTCTCCGTCATATATCGTCGCACTGA